GAGAGAGAGAGAGAGAGAGAGAGAGAGAGAGAGAGAGAGAGAGACCCTTCCCCATAAACCCATCCCACCTGAATGCCAACCCCCCCCCCGCCCCCTTGGGACACCCCCAAAACAAAATCGCACCCATAAAGTTTTATTGCGGATTCTGACAGATCTTGGAGAGCGCAGTCCGAATCCGCGATCAAACCAAAAAAATAAAAAATCGGGGCTTTTCGTTTTTTTACCGGTTTTCCGGTTCGCCCCCCTTGGCCAGTCCGGCCCCGGTTGGACTGGGCGAGCCGAACCGGCCAGTTGCTGGCCCAGCCCTGGTTTGAGTGCATTTACTGCATTAGTTTTCATTAACTTTTAAAGAATTCGCATAGGCAGGAACCGGAGCAAAGTAATCCCACCACCAAGTCCTCAACGGCAATCATTTACTGCATAACAGACATGTCCATAGACTCCACTGAGACAATCATTCTGTACATCGACACCAACCAGTGTGCATTTTCTAACAACAGATTGACACTGGGAGTGGTGCTATAGGGGAGATTCTAGTACGTACCTTAAGCATGCGCGTTTGGAGCGAATTCGAGTTTGCCTTGCCATAAGGATCTTCATCCAGAAACACCGCCTTTTTCGATACAAGTTTTTGAAACGCATTCAAGACTGTACCCAGATCATTCAGATTGGCCACAGTAGACGACCAGCGTTCATCTGCTGCTGGTCCTTGTCCAATATTAGAAGGTACTGTGGCGACACTTCCAGAACCCGCTGGTCCAGCTCCATCCCCTTTCCTTCCTTCCCCTCCTCCCCCTCCTCCTCCTCGACCTTCCGCCATGGCATGTGGCGTACATCCATACTGGTGTCCATCTCCATTTCCTTCAACAGAAGACGCAGACGAGGCTTGTCCAGCCATGGCCACAAAAACTTGCACAAGGATGGCCCTCTTGTGCAACTATCACACTTCAGAAAAGTCACTGTCACCCCCTTATACTCCACTCTCTCAAAATAAGAGCTTTTACAGAGCTTTGACTTCACACCAATGTGCCTTCCACCTACTCCAGGTGGTACACACCCTTGAAGCCCTGTTCTTTGCACTCCCCTAGCAAATCCCAAAGTAAATCCACTAGTTAATCCGGTAGTGAATCCTGTTGTTAATTATTGACCACCTGACAAGGAGGTGACGAGTGAGCGGTCACCCCCTCATCCTTGAAGAAAACAGTGAGTTTCCATTCCACCCACTTCAAGAAAACAGAAAAACTCCTGGCCCACCCCAAGGATCCACCAACCACTGCAAACTATACACCCCTGTCCTCGTCTTCAATAATTTAAGCCTTCCTATGGAAAATGAGTTGAAGTCCATGCAGGAGGAATGTTTGCCCAAGTTACCATTCACAGGTCGGTCCTCTTGTGCATCATGAACGTGTATTTATCTATGAAGATACTCGCTCACAACAAACCTGGTCCATTCTTGGAACTGATGCACGACAGCTATGAAAAAGATAACACATCATGAAAGGGTTCAGGAACGACCTAAACATGATTCTGACCCTTTTCCGGCCTCAGACCTGAGTTCACCCGGCGTCTTGGAATGTTCCAGTCAATCCCTCGGTCACTTGCTTGCGCAACTAGTATCAATGTACTGCATCATCGTCCATTCTTTGTCTGATGCCAGACCAGCACGCGAATGATTCAGGTGCAAAGTGCAAATACAGGGCTTCAACCGCCAAAGGTTCTGCTGCAGCAGCTGCTTGTTGCCAATTTGCACTATGCACCAATTAGCCCTGCCAAATAGAAGCCAAAGAGAAGCCAAAGAGGACCGAAAAGTCAATTACCCGAAGAGTGGGAAATCACGACATTTGCCTCTTTTTGCTGTTAAGATCCCTCCATAATTAATTATCAATGTGTTGAGAAGGGAAGGGTTCGTCAGCTGATATACACTCCCAAACAAATCTTTGTAATGACCCGCCATAACACAGACTGAGAACACTGCTGATTTCTGAAGTTCTGCCGATGGAATGGATGCCTTGCCAAGATTCCCGCATTCTGCTGTTTTTTCTAAGTCTGTATGTGTGCGTGCCTGTCTGAGTGCTTGTCGGCATGAGTGTGTGTGTGACCCGCAAGGGTACTTGCTTGTTTGGCAGGCCCGTAGGGCCGGTACTTACCTGTGGCCGTGGCATTGAGGGTTGCAGCAGGGAAAACACTCAAGTAGCGTAGCCAGGGGCCCGCGGTGCTTAGAGCAGCGGAAAAACACTCAAGTAGCAGGTAGGCCGGTACCGCACCCAGTAGCAGTAGATGTGCCGGGACCGAGCAGAAGAAGACAAAGTTGGCATTTTTAGAGGCCCAGTAGCGGTAGGCTAGGTCTAGGCCGGTACCAGTCCATCCAGTCCGAGTCTAGAGCCTGTACGGGCAATATCAGAGTCTGCAATGATGTTTCCCTCCGAAAGGGAGGAGGTACCAGTTGCTTGGGAGGCCGAGCGGCCTGGAAGTCAGCGGCATAGCTGCTTTGGGTTGTCCTTTGGACAGGAGGGAGAGCCCTCAGTACTCCGCCATAGCCTCGGCCTGTATGTAGAGGAAGAGGAAGGATGGCCATGGCTATGGTGGACCTCATGTTGTGCCTGCAGTAGAAGTGGGATTCGGACATTGATTCTGGTTCAGCCATTCAACATTATTATTGTTATTTCTTGTTTGAATAAGAGGGGAGGAGATAAGGAGGAGGAGATTGGTTGGCGAGGAAGAAGAGCCTTGTCATTGGTCTATGCTGCAGTACATCATCTTCTTCTTCTTTCTTACTCCTCCTTCTTTCCCTCTCTCTCCTCTCAAGTTCATTCATTTCTTTTTGCAAATGGACGGCATTGTACTTTCTGATGTTTGTATACTTCGAAATTGGCCAGGATCGTAACATCTTCAATACTATGCCATGTTGTCAGAAACCAATTAAGCTGCTTCAAACACCAGTAGATTTCCTTTTGCACCTTCGCCCCTGCAAAAACGAGCATGTGGGAAGAAACAAAAGAAGAGGTAGCATGCGGAGTGTGACGGCAGTTCAACACTGACTGACCTGTTGAGTGGTGTGAACATACCACAATGCTCTCCTTTCCCCTCTCTCATCTCCCCCCTCTCACCAGGTTAGCAGACTCTCGCTTTCCCCCTCTACATTTCCCTATCACTTCATCCATTTGATTCCTTCTTGCAAAGAAGAGTAAGCAAATAAAATAAAATAAAGCAGATGCTCTGCATCCCCCCAACTTTTCTAGCTCTGCTGCCTCCCACTTTGCCTCAGCAAAATGGCAAAGAGAAAAAGAAAGTTCTCTCTCTCTCTCTCTC